CCAAGGACTTGAGCCGCTGTTGGTAGGACTCGGCATCGTATTCGAGTTTGGATTTCTCAATCTTGACATCTTTGAGTTCCTCCTCCTTCTCAGAGAGCAGAGCTTGCAGATTCCTGACTTGCACAATGAGAGATTGACTGATTTCGGCAGCGAACTCAATGTCGTGGACTCGATTGGCCGGTTGGTTTCGTAGCTTTCGTCCCGGCAAAGTAAGTTTCGTGGGAGAACCGGTAGCATTGGCTTCGAACTTGGAGGGACTAGCAGAGCGTTGCTGGAGAGAGTGTTAGCACTCTTGCTAGTGCAGCGTTGTGGAGGTTATACTCACCCGACCCCCTTTACCATCAGACACAAACTGTGAGCCACCAGCTGCCTCGTTGCTGGGAACTCTGGGTTTTGGGAGAAATGCCTTTGCACTCTCTCGTGCTACATCATTGTAGTCCTTTTCTATCTCGGCCAGCTTCTCTCGCAAATCTTGGGAAAGCTCGGCTTCCGCGCTGAGTTTTTCGATCTCTTGAATCCGCTGTGTGAGCTGATGTCGCTGTTGTACCAGAGCGGTACCCAGTTTCCCAGCTTCCTCCATCCGCCTGTCTGTTTCTGCGAGGTGTGCTTCTAATGCTTTCCTGGCTTGGGCTGGCGAAGCATTGTTTCCGAGAGCAAAGAGCTGGGAGTCGAAAGTCGAGTAGCGATGCCGGGGTTCCCGTTCATCCGGCGAATGGTCGTCTGTAGTGAAAGGATCGTGATCCATGGCCGTACTGTGAGCAGCTGACGAACCACCGCCAGCCGGACTGGAAGCTGCCATGGTGGGCAGGTTGTGTTAGAAGAAGAAGGGGAGGCACTTCCCTGAAGAGGAGTGCGATTTCCCCTTGCGACTTGGAACTGTGAGCATACAACCTGGCCGAATGGAACCACGTGAAGCTGAAACAAGATTGGAAATCACCCGTCCCTGTCAAAAGTGTTTGTTTGTAGGGGCGGAATCGCTTTCCCTTAAGAGGCGCCCATAAAAAACAAGATGGCAAGGCGGGAAAACGAAGCAAATGCGGCAGGGACGCCGGACCCTGCAGTGGCAGCTTGGGTGGCAGCCGACAAGAAGAAACACGAAAACCGAGATGCAAATGCTTGGAATGGAACGCGACGATGCTCAGCGCTGAGTACAAGTATCGAGGACCCTTATGAGAGGCTCACTAGCATGCAAACTAGTGAAGGGGCTGGAATGTACAAGTAGACAGACTACCGGCGAGTTTTAATTGTATTGTCGTCGGCTCGAGTTCTCCAGAGTCGTCGGGGGGGGGCAGCTAAAATCGTGCCAAGTATCCGTCCGGACAAGCAGTCGGTCGGTCGCCGAGTTGACGTGGTTGGGCCCGTATTGCGAATCTGTTGGGCGCTGCAGGTCGAAGCTCTACTGGTCCGTCAGACCCTTCAAAAACCGTCGGGCCTCCTGGATCTTCAGGTAGGCAGAAAGACACCGTGGGTCCAAAGTCAAAAGCGACACGATGGCGATGCGCGACCGTGGGGACCGTTGAAGACTGAAAGCTTGAGTCGTGCAAGGGGGGGCGGGTCGTCCCAAGAGGCTGGTCGTACCAATAAATTGGCGTCGAGGAGAATTAAATTGAACAGTTCAACGGCGGAACACGTAAAGAGCTGGCAGTAGGCGAATTCAAAGGCTGCTGCAATGTGTCGCAAAGAGCAGGCCGCTGTGAGACCGTTGTAGGGGAAATTTCGAAAACGGACGGCCAAGAAAAGGAGTCGCACAAGATGGAAATTTGCCGACAGAAGCAACGATTACAATTAGTAAAAAAGGGCCCCTCTCAGAACTGGAGTCCTTGAGGACGCGAGAGGGAGAGAGATGCGCTCCTGTCTGTCGAGAGTAGTAGGTGCCGAACGTGAGCCCAATCAAGAACTAGAATTACGGGCGATGTCATTCGGCCGCGGCGGACGAATAGAGGGGTGCGGTGCCGGTCTGAGACGCGTCTTGTTCAAAACAATGGCCACGGGAATCCAGGCCCAGAGGATATGCAACTTTGGCACCTGCGCAGGAGGAGAGAAAGCCTCAGAAGGGATCTCTCAGCCGTTCGCGAGGGAAATAATACAATAAGAAACAAAAAGAGAAAAAAGGGCAAAAGTATATAGTATATAAAAATACGGGCGAAAAACAAAAAGAGAGGGAGAGGGAGGGGCAGGAGTCGAGCGTCGAGAGCAAGTCTCCGAGTAAGTAAACAAAATAGAAAAAAGAGTGTCGGATCGGGATAGAGAGAGGCTCTCAGTAGGAGGAGAGGGAGAAGAATTCCATGAGACGACCCGACATGTTCGTCTGGTGTTCTTCAAGCTTGTCGATGCCCGGATCCCCAGCAAGGACCATGCTAGCACAAATGAGATGGATACAAGGATCTCGAGGACAGGAGTTCCCCATTTCCATGGTCAGCTTGTCAATGCTTTCGACAAAGTGGCTCCCTCATCTATCCATCTGTCTTGATGTACCGGGCGGCACGTTTACGATCTTCAAATTACATTAGGTATGTTCCGTGAAAGTCAAGATTGGGCTATACTACGGGGGGGTCTCGTATGGTAAATCATCAATGTGATGAATGTTTCCGTCTATGATCTTCTGTCTAGGAGTATAAGGTTGACACAGAAATCACTTTCCAGGCTGCTAGTACTTGGTAGTGGAAATCTACGTACATACCACCTCCCATCCTGGAGCCGTCGGGCGCGTGCTAAAAGGTGTGCATGTAGATCGTGCATTAGTACCTCAGTGTGCCTGACGGCGGGCGCTGGTACCTGGCGCTGGGGGCACCCGAGCACCACTTTGCACACCAGACGCGAAAAAGGAGCTGGTCCAAGGCGTCCAATGTGCCAGTACGCGCCAGGCCTTGAACACTGCACTAACATTTGAACGGCTCTGCACAACAACAAAGGTGAGTCATGCGACGTGTCAATGAGCATCATGGGAGTTGTACAAGTGCATCAAAACAATACAGAAGCGCAAAACATTCATTGGTGCTCATTGATCCCATGGTGTTGCGCATAAAACCCCCAGCATCAACCAATTTTAGACCTGCCAGCCTCGGTCAAGCCAAGGTAGAGGAGGGGCCCGTCCACTGGCTCATTATTGAGAGGTGGGGTGACTGCAAATGAGATGAACACTGTGATGGCTGGCCTGCGAGTGCTGCCCTGCATACAGTCTCGCGTATCAATCTCAAACTGTAAAGCAATGTCCCGGCCTGCCTCTCCTCTGGTTCGAACTTCTGTGCTAGAAGATGATAGAACAAACACACCCCACGTTCGTCCCGGATCGTCCTTTTTCGATGCTGAGATATTGGGGGCTGTGGTAATCCCGGCTCTTGTCTGTTCAATATTGACCGATATTCACCACTTTCCGCATCGGCCACTGAATGACGCTGGTCGAGGCTGAGCTAATCGGGATTAGTCAGTGGGTCTGGTGTGTGCTAACCAGAGTCGGTTTCGCCTTTTGCGAGGATTCGAGAAGGCTGACTGAGCATCTGGCGAGCTACTATCCAGCAGTCGAGAGGTTTCAACTAAATCGCAGAGGATTTACTTCGTGCAATTCTTCAAACTTCGTCTTCGCAAACACCTCAGGATGACGGACAATTCAACCACAGACGCAGCGCCAAACGCTGATGCGCCCATCGCCCCAGTGGCCATCTTCAAGAAGCGAGGCGCAAAGGCCAAGGCCAATCTTCGCAAGCGACCGGCAACTCCTCCGCCTGCCAACAGCGACAGCGATTCGGATTATTCCTCATCAGAAGACGAGCAAGGGCAAAGAGTCAAGAGGCGGAAGAAGAACAACGTGATAACGGCCTCGTCCAAGAACAACGCCACTTCGCAGCACGAATCCGCCACCGTCTTTTCTGCCGACCGTAACGTTCCCATCACCAGTACAAATGACGCCACAAAGCAGAGCAACTGGTACGATGAAGACGCGAATTTGCTGGGCAAGACCCGTCCGGTACCTCAATCAAGTTCAAATGCCGACGGCACCGTGCTGAAAGCCCCCGATGGCACCTACAAGGGAATGGCAAACCGCACAACCTTTATTCAAAAGAACCCAAATGCCCCCAGCCGGACGGTTGGCCCCATCAAGGCTGCCACCAATATTCGCACCATCACCGTAACGGATTTCGCTCCAGATGTGTGCAAGGACTACAAACAGACAGGTTTCTGTGGTTTTGGCGACAACTGCAAGTTCCTACACGCGCGTGAGGATTACAAACAGGGCTGGCAGCTCGACCGGGACTGGGAAAACGTGACCAAAGGAAAGAACATGGGCGGCACAGTTGTCGCCAGCGCTGATCGTGACCAGAACGCCCAGGGCGACGACGACGCTGCCCAGGCCGCCTTGCTGGAGAAGATCCCCTTTGCCTGTATAATCTGTAAAAAGGACTATCGTAGCCCCATCAAGACGCGATGCGGTCATTACTTTTGTGAGCCGTGTGCGCTGCAACGGTATAGAAAAGATCCCAGTTGCGCAGCTTGTGGCGCGGGCACGAATGGCGTCTTTAATGCCGCCAAAGAATTGAGCAAGCTCTTGGATAAGAAGAAGGCCAGAGCTGAAAGATTGCGGCAAGAAGCTATCGATGCTGGGGAAGATCCTGATAAGATAGAGGATGGAACACGGAAATAGCATGTCATAAGGATCACTGCAGTCGCAGCAAGATCTGCTTGTCAGCAGTGCTTTTCAACTCATGAATCATACCAATGAAGCAGATCTCTCAAGTCTACCTACCGCTGCATATATAGCTACCTACCGAGGAAATAAAGCAGAAACGTTGTGAATCTACTGCATACTCATCTGATTATATTCATCTCATCTTAGGACAAAAGTGTGTGCGTGTGTGCTTGATAAAAATCCAAAAGGAAGGCACGTTTTTGCTGTCCCGGTGCTTTGGCTCCCGGAACCGCGCTAAGGTGCAGAGTGGGGCCACGAAAAAACCTCGCGAGATCATCGTGAAGTTCTCTCATGCTCAAAAAATGGAAAAAATCAAAGGACCGCCTGGGGATCGAACCCAGAATCTCCTGATGTCAACTGAGTACTTCCGCTCGTAGTCAGACGCAATGCCAATTCTGCCAACGGTCCTTGTTGAAATCCGGCCAGTTATTGAGTAATATGTAGTGTGGTGGATCAAAGGAAAAGTTTTCACTCCATGGGCCTCTCTGTCGTTTGCTTTACTCATGACTCAAGATATTCCGTGGTCGGTGACGGGTCGCAACCTTGAAAGCGTACCGGAGCCCAGACAAAGCCAGGTTATTCCCTCCATGTATGCAGTGATGCTGAGCGACCCTCTTGACATCAGTAGATTGCCATGATCTCGTTTCGGACCACTGGCGGCCGCAGGCGTTCGGCGGTCACTGCTTGACCAGAAACACCATAGAACGAGACGGGTATTGCTTCGGATCGTTTCTATGTAAGAGCATGATGCCACTTCATCCCTAGAGATTCTATGGTAAGATAACGCAAAGACCGATCGTGTCAAAATCTGATAAAAATCTCCGTGTATAGCTAAGTTTGCCAAAGTGTGCTTTCCCTTTTTTTATGTCGGAAATCGGACGATAATCTCTTTGTAAATATAGCAAAAGAACTATTTAAAAATCGTTGTATATATCTTTGAGTATTTGTCCGAAGTCTTCGGACAAAAATGAAATATAGAAATGCTATAGATAATAAAACTATATCAGGAACATCAGCACGTATATATAACACAGACGACACACTTGTTTTCGGCATCGTTATATTACATCCAGATTTGAAAGGCATGTCACTCCCGTACTTATTTTTTCTGTCCATGATCCCACGGTCTCGGCTTCGACTTATCTTCTTTTCATCAAAGATTTATTCCTCCTGATGTACACATTGGAAGAACATGCCGTAATCATGACTATCCACAGTTTTCTGGGTGATGTTGGGTCTTTATCCCATCTCCTCAGACCGAAGAATACCTTCCGATAAATGCCCTTTCACAAAAGCTCAAAGCAACATTGAAGTTCTTCGTGGGCTACTCTCGGGCCTCGTCGGCCGTCTGGTATGCCGTTGTGAGCTTGGGCTGTGCCATCTTTGTGCCACCGTTGTCGAAGACAATGTAGCTGGCAGAAACCCACTTGCCGGTGGCATCGACATGGTCATGGACAATACTGTGGCCGAGAAAAATGCTGGCCTGTCTTTTGGACGAGCGCTGTCAGTTTGCGGCCTTCGTCCGCGAAGTCTGATTCAAGAATTGAGCAAGGACATCGAGTTCGATGGAGGCATTTTTACCGGCCCAAGGAGGAGGAAAGAATGCCTCCAATAGAATGAAACCTATCTCGATATCTGGGGCGATACAATAATAAGGCCATTATCCACAAGTTCCGCCGCTACCTGAACTTGAAGTATTACCACCATGGCGAGATAGACAATGCACCCACAGATGTCGGCTTTCGACCCATCAGTCTACAAACACCTGCGTGGGACGCTTGTATCGACCACTGGCTAATAATAATCTCATCATACGACGAAGTCAAAAGTTTCCATCTGGATTGCGGAATATGCTTGTCTTAAGGCTGCAATTTACCGTTTGAAAATCTTTATCAAATTTGGACAATTATGAGAAATATTAAAAATTGCTCAAACTTTTTTGTGCTCTTTCTGCATAATAGGTTGATTTTTCTTAGTATTATAAAGGAAGCAACAAAAACGTGTTTTTGCCAACAGAATCTATATAAATACAGATACTTTTGTAAGATCATCAAAGCAAACATCTAAAAACTAGCATTTTGGGATCGAAAATACTAAAACAAGACCAACGACAATTTTTTCAGACAGCTCTTTTATGTGCGCACCATTTACTTCCAGAAAGTATTCCTCAGCCTTTATTGCAACAATAGGGATATCGATTGAAATCATTAATGCTTTTGCCTGTACAATCTGATCTACAACTTGGAGAATACAGTACCGACGGTGCCGCCCATCTCCACAAGGGTACTCTTGTTCCGTGTCCACGCCTCGAGTCCCCGGCGGCCATTCTCGACTCCGACACCACTCTGCTTCCATCCGCCGACAGCCATCTCTGCCGGAGACTCACCCCACGTGTTCACCCAAGTGATACCCGCCTCGAGTTGACTAATGACACGGTGGCACTCGTTGATATCCTTGCCAAAGACGCCGGCAGCGAGACCGAGCTCCGTCGCGTTGGCCCTCCTCACGGCCTCGTCTACAGTGTCGTATGTGAGGATCGACATGACCGGACCAAAGATCTCCTCCTTGACGATGCTCATGTCGTCGGTGCAGTCTGTGAAGACGGTGGGCCTGACCCAGTAGCCGTCCTTGAGCGCGGCTGGCAGACCGTCGGGCTTGCCGGGACCACCTGCCAGCAGAGTCGCCTTGTCGTTTTCGATGCCGTGCTTGATGTAGCCCGCGACCTTTTCGGCGTGGCTCTTGCTACTGAGAGGGCCAAAGTTGGTGGCCATGTCGAACAGGTCTCCTGCTCGCACGTACTGCATCTTCTCCAGAATGTTGCGCTCGAAGGCCTGCTTCATCGACTTGGGCACGAAGACCCGGGTGCCGTTGGTGCACACCTGTCCGGTGCTGTAAAAGTTGGCCAGCATGGCTCCGTCGACGGCCTGGTCCACGTCGGCGTCCGGCAGGACGACGAGGGGGCTCTTGCCGCCCAGCTCCATCGTGACGTACTTCATGCCTCCGGCGGCAGAGCCGGCAACCTTCTTGCCCGTGCTGACCTGTCCCGTAAAGCTGACCTTGGCGATGGAGGGATGGCTGGTGAGGCGCGCGCCCACGTCGCCGGCGCCGTAGACGACGTTGAACACGCCGTCGGGCAGGCCGGCCTCCTTGTAGACGCTGGCGAGGTATTGAGCGTGCAGCGGCGTAAACTCGCTGGGCTTGTATACCATGCAGTTTCCGGCGGCCAAGCAGGGAGCCGATTTCCACAGAGCGATCTGGATGGGGTAGTTCCACGCGCCAATGCCAGCACAGACGCCGAGGGGCTCTTTTGTCGTGTACACCATGGCGGACGGCCTCAGGCGGAAGGACTCGCCGTTCAAGCCGCCGCTCGCGACGAGGTTGGCAAAATACTCGAGAACATCGGCGCCGGTGACGATATCGACCGTCGACGTTTCCGAGTACGCCTTTCCGGTGTCCATGGTCTCGACCTTGGCCAGCTCATCGTTCTTTTCCCGCAGCAGAGCGACGGCCCGCTGCAGTATGCGGGCCCGCTCTATGGGCGGCGTGGCTGACCACGAGGGAAAGGCGGCTTGTGCCGACTCAATGGCCTTGTCGACAGAGGCCGCTGATGATGTGTGAATTGTGCATGTTGGGCGGCCGGTCGAAGGATCAACCGTCTCAAAGGTGCCGGCCGAGTCCGAAGGCTGCGACTTGCCGGCGTAAAAGGTGTGACGGTCTCCTTCGTGGTGTTGGGCCATGGCGACTGTCAAGTGGATGGTGGATAGAGGATTTGATTAGTAGAGATAACAAACGCAGGTCAACATTCGATTTTCCTCAATCTGATCCAACATGTGCAGCAGTAGTGTCTAGATATGAACCGAGGTAGCATCTACTTGTAATCAGGCAAGGGTTTGGAATTTTTCTCTCTCTTCCCCGAGTCAATAGTGAGGCCCCAGTGCACCACAATAATAACGGCAGACGGCTTCGGACGACGACGGTGGAGGTTGAACCTGAGAGAGATACCATGGGCGGCCCCGCGCTGAGCCAACCGAAATGCGTATCAATCGGCAGCTAATCAGTGGGCAGAGGCCACCCAGGCCACCAAGACCACCCCAGAGCCCCCCCAAGGCACCCCCCGGCGACAGCGAGAAGCGATACCTTCTTAAGGCGAAAGTATCCGAGGTATGCGGGCACTTAGCGTGGATAGAGCACTAAAAGTCTGCTCGGTGGAGCGACTCTGCGCGCTGCTGGTAGTTATCTTTAGGTAAAGAAACGCCGGGTTGATCTGGAGAAGCAGGGATCTGGTCGGTGGCTTGATGGGGCTACGTCACTGAAATATGGCCTGACAACTGGTCGTCTTGGTTGTTATTTCTAATGAAGTGCCGGCTAATTCCTTTCGCCATCGTGATCTTGCGGTGAGATTTCGATACTCGTAGTAGTACCAGTCGTACATAACTCGATGCCGTCGTGCAGTCCATTACTACAATTACGGGACCCCGGGTAGCCATGTCGGATAGCAATCAACCACTAAAAAAGGCTGGGACCCGGCGACCCTCCGAACTAGAGCAGAGGAACCCATTCGTAACGGAGTTCTAGTGTGTATATCGTACATAAAAACCTTGCATGGCTTGGTAGCACAGCAGTAGCAGTATGTGGTGATACATACATACATACACACATGCGCATGTCAGCTTCAATCGCCGGATCTGGCAATCTGGGGTGGCCGAAGCGGCCGACATAACCGTCACCACCAACAGAGCCGATCTATCAGTTGGCCACTGGCAGACATCTTCTAGGGGTGCTTGGCGATGCCCGTGGCCAGAACAAACTAAACTTTAACAACGTGATCGGTTTTCTCTACCGAATACCGTCTCTTTATCTATGAGCCTGCAGGGCCTGTCAAGCCTCCTGCGCCCGCTCTCAGTGGCTGTCGTGCACACGAGTCAAAGGCCCTGGCCTCGATTATGCATCTCGTCTTCCCCACCTCAGTTCTAGGATCACGGTGCCTTGCATCCACTTGGCGGCGTCTCGAAATTTTCTAGTGGACCGATCGTGGTCCATGGCGCCAGAGAATAATTGCCGCGTCTATCGCTTACCTACTTGCCATGGGCCATGGCTCTACAAATACGGACTGGACTGATAGATAAAAAACTGTCGTCGATTCATTATCCCGTCGTGGTCGTGTGACTGATAGTCTTTGAGAGTTTAAACCAAAAACTCAGCTACTCGTCCTCCTAAAAACCCACCAAGTCTCAAGAGCTGCTCTGGTCAAGTTGTCGATCGTTCAGCCTCCTCTGTCCTTGCTTTGCTCAACCAGTCAACCACCCTTTGTGTAGAAGAACATCTTAAACATGGCTACTACTACGCAGCTTCCCGTCTCGGACTCCGAGAGATACGACTATGTGATCGTCGGTGGTGGTACCGCCGGA